AAAATATGTATTAAAAGTGTTAAAATATCAGGGTGTGGTGGCACATGCCTGTAGTCCCAGCACTTGGGAGGCAGAGGCAGGCAGATCTCTGAGTTCAAGGCCAGCCTGGTCTACACAGTGAGTTCCAGGACAGCTGGGGCTACAGGGAGACCCTGCTTCAAAAAGACAAAAAAAAAAAAAAAGTGTTAAAATTGCTTCTGTATCTTTTTCTATGAAAATACCTTATCTTTATATAGAATAATTCCTGTACAGAGCATGTATTGTACTCTTTATTTTCTTTTCCCTCCCTCTTCCTATCTCTTTCTGAGATAATTATATAGCTCTGGCTAGACCAGAAGCCACTATGTAGTCCAGTTGGCCTTCAGCACATATGGCAATCCTCCTGCCTCAGCCTCTCATGTGCCAAGGTTACAAGCATAAGCCCACAGGCCTGACTCACACTTTTTTCCATTTTAAGTTTCATAAAGTAGTCTTTTTAAATTTTGAATTGATACATGGGGGCTGAGGATGTGGCTCAGTGGTACAGTGCTTGCCTAGTATTCCCGTGGACCTTGAGTTCCATCCCCACCAAAAACGAAACAAAAGTCAGTCTAAGTTAACAGCTGATATTCTATTGCACTGATGGGCCATAGCTGATGATTAGCCTTCCTTTTCGATAAGCTTCCAATATTTCTCAACAGCCAGCAATGGTGAGAAAAACATGCTTACCGCAAATCTGGCAGTACACCTGATCATTTCTTCAAATTGGTTCCTAAACACAGATCTGTGGAATTCCCAGTGATGTGTGCCACACAGGCTGGCTGTGGGGACACCACTAGCATCATAACTTTAAAATGGCCAGCTGGATGAAAAGCATCTTGCTTTTGTGCTTCTTTGATGAGGAATGAGGTTAAATTTTCCAAGAAAGCACTGGCAGTCTGCATGCTGTATCCCCATTCTGTCTGGGCAGCATTTCTAGGTGTTAGGAGGTGACCACGGCACTCCTCCTAGAGACTGGGAGGCAGCCAGTATAGGGTTGGGTGAATGGCACCATCTCCTGCCCCCCAGGACCCCTCCTTGTAGGTAAAGCCCAGCCTGTGTATACTGAACAGGGGCCACAGCAGGCTACCTCCAGATCCTTGTAACTTATTCTACTGTCCAGCAGCCTAGACAGGAGCATAGCACCTGCACTCAGCACCCGTACCTAGCATCCTGCACATCACACCCAGTACTCAGTACCTGTACCTAGCAACCTGCATCTGTACCTAGTACTCTGCACATAGCACCTGTACCTAGTACCCTGCACATAGCACCCTGCACTCAGCACCGTTGTGGCAAGCAGCTGTCTGGAACGTGTGGTCACTGCCCAATACCAAGAGAGCACCAGACTATACATTGGTAACCTAGGAAAAGATCCAAAGTCAAAACTCCAAGCACAGATTCTACCATACACACGCCACTCACATCATTGCAAAGCCAAGAATCCTAAGTTAAACTGTTGTGCCTCAGGGACCACTGGTATCTATCAGACCTTCAGGAGGTCACTATGACAACCATAGAAGACATAGTCCCTGCTTCCATAGCACTGGCCCCGTGGGGAGAGGACTGGCTGCCATTTGCAACAGACACTCAAAGCAAAGCTGGCTTAAATACACTAGACTCTGACCCCCACACACACCCCGAAAGCCCACACTAGTGGTGTGGTTGCACCCTGGGGAGTGGTCTTGGGTCTGTACTCCTCCCCAGCCTGCCTCCCATCCCAAACTGCAGCCTTGAGCTTTGTCTGCCTGGCCCCCCGGATCTTCCTGTCCGGATTGTAGCCAACAGAAGGGAGCATGCAGAGGGCAGCCCAGAGCATGCACCCTCACTTCTGCAATGCCCTTTGGCCAGCTCTAGGGGTGCTGGATGATGCAGTCTTTCTTTAGGACCATTCTATTGAGAAATGGGTGTGCCAAGAAAGAGAGAGTAACAGTGGGCCAGCAGTCCTCACTATGGGAAGACACGCTTAATTAACAAATACACTAATTAATGAATCATTACAAACCTTGAGAAATGCTTTGCGAGGTACTGAATACAAAGGAGGTTAGACCTGAGGGATGCAGAGGAATTAACAGAGAGAGAGGAGGGTAAGATGGCTTACGATGGAGGGAATGTTGGGGCAAAGGCCCTGGGGTCAGCCAAGCACAGTATGACACGGCACTTGGGAAGCCCTTGTCTGTGAGAGGTTTAGCCAGCATCTACACACAGCATGTGAAGTCCCTGAAATGGTCTATAGGAAGGAGTTGGGCCGGGAGTCAGAAACTTCCACTTGGTTCCAAGCACTTTTCTAACGTTTAGTGTATAATTCACTTGATCTTCAAGCTCCCTGCATCCATTCTGTCTTTAGAGACACAAATGCCCAAGGGAAGTAGACTTGTAGGGGTTTACAGGGAGACTCAGCAGAGGGGAATGGTAGGCAGGGACAACCCCCAACCAGAATACAGGTCTGACAGCTGGAGGCAGTAGAAGCCTCAAGCTTCAGCGACCTGGAGAGTACTGGCCTGGAAACCCCAGCTTAGAGTTCCATCAGCTGTGCAAGAGCCCTGTGTCTGGCAGGAGCAATGGGGCAGGACCCCAGCTCAGCCTTTAGCTGTGAAGCCAGAAGCATGCACAGGAACAGGATCCTCGGTTGGTGACCCACTTGGGCTGAGAAAGGATGAAGCAATGTGTAGAGTGGCCCTCAACTAGCTGCTGACTCCTCGGGTAAGTGGGCCAGGATTGCTGGGTATGGTTCTGGGTGAGGCAGCTCTAGGGCTGCTGTTTACCTGAGGTACCCACAAGTAAGGGGCTCAATGAGGGTCCCTCAAATTCTTGTGTGATCGCTAAGCGCCAGTGTTTCAGAATGCAATTGTATTCTGGACACAGGGCCTTTAACAATGTAATTAAATTAAAAAATGAAGTTGCTGGGGTGGGTAATAAGACTGGGTTCCTAATAAGAAGAGATCAGAGGCTGGGTGTGGTGGCTCACACCTGTAATTCGAGCACTGGGGAGGCAGAGGGAGGTGCAGCTCTTGAGTTTGTGACCAGCCAGGTCTACATGGTGAGTTCCAGGGCTATAGTAAGACCCTGTCTCAAAATAAGGGGGGGAAAACTATCCATAACACCAGTCCCAGGGGATCCGACAGCCTCTTCTGACCTCTGCAGGCATTGCACGACATAGGTGCACTTACCTACATGCAGGCAATACACACATACACATAAAACTAAAAAAAAAAAAAAAAGAGGGAGAGAGATCAGGACACAAGCAGGCACACACAGGGGAAGACTATATGAGACTCAGGGAGAAGGAAAGAGGCCCAGGAAGTCTTCCTGTGACACCTGGATCCTGGACTTCCAGCATCCAAAACACTAAGGACTATACAGACTTATCTGTCAGGGCAGATGGGCAGCTGGATGGGGGCCACTTTGCTTGGCATACAAAGTGTGATATCTGGGAAGGATTCTAGAGCAGAGGCTGGATGAGGTCAGATTGGAATGCTCTGAGTGAGCTGCTTGGGGTGGGGGGTGGGGGCAAGTAGCCTATTGACAACCCTTCAGCCACTCAGAACAAACTCAGCCAGTACCCCTAAGACTTTTGCTGAGCCCATCAAATGCTGTTGCTGTGCCTGTATGGGAAGAAGTCAGCTGGGAAGTGAGCAGGGGTAGGGTCCCACTGTGGGCAGCTAGAGGACTGCAGGTATTGGGATGCAGTCAGAACTGTGGCCATGTGCATGGAGTGAGGGTGGGGGAGAGAAGAGAAAGGAGGAGGAGGAGGAGGAGGAGGAGAGGAAGGGGAGAGGAAGGGGAAGAGATGATTGAGTGAGTCCATGACTGACCCCACACCTGTTAGGGTCTCACCAAGAAAGAATCTCTTGGTTCAGTTTACAGTATTTCTGAATTGTCTTTGGTTCTGTGGATACAGGAGTGAAAATATAATGTATGCCCACTCTGTGTGTGTGTGTGTGTGTGTGTGTGTGTGTGTGTGTGTGGTGTAGCACTTACCTTGAATGCATGATACCCAGGCTCAATCCCCACTACTTGGGGGGGAAAGATACACCAACTCTAGAGAAGGACTGAAAAATGAGGAGTCAGGGCTGCAGAGATGGTTCAGCGGTTAAGAGCACTGGCTGATCTTGCAAAAGATCTGGGTTCAAATCCCAGCACCCACATGGCAGCTGACAACCAACTGTTAACTACAGTTCCAGGGGATCTGACCCTCTCTTCTGTCCTCTGCAGGCACTGCATGACATGGGTGCAATTACACATATTCAGGCATAACACTCATACACATACAATAAAAATAATTTTTTAAAAAAGAGTATAATAAGCCGGGCTTGGTGGCAGAAACCTTTAATTCCATCAGATCTTTGTGAGTTTGAGGCCAGCCTGGTCTACATAGTGAGTTCCAGGACAGCTGGGGCAACAGAGAGACCCTGTCTCAAAAAGACAAAAAAAAAAAAAGAGTATACTAGAAAAAGAGAGGCATATAAAGTCAAATGTATCTTGATAAGTATGTGAAATCTGAGGATGGAAAACCCATCAAAACCCCTAAAAGGCCCAGGCCTGGATGGTTTTACAGGCAAGTCAGCTGATGTTCAAACAATATACTTTATACGCTTTGTCTTTTAAAAAATATTTTATTTTTTTATTTCATGTGTATATTTTCTGCATGTAGGTAGGTGTGCCCATGTTTTGCAGTGCCCAAGGAGGTCAATAGGGGGCGTTGGATCTCTTGGAACTGATTATGGATGATTGTTAGCCACCATGTGGGTGCTGGGAATCCAATACAGGTCCTCTGCAAGAGCAGCAAGTGCTCTTAACTGCTAAGCCATCTCTCCAGTCCCCCTTTGTCTTTTTGAAAAAGTGATATAAACAGCTGTAATTTTGGCATGTGGAAGGCTAATGAAGCTGGATCAAGAGTGCAAGACCAGCCTGGGCTACATAGTGAGACCTTGTTACAAAATGAAACAAATAACAAACTTTCCAGAAAGATAAATCTTTCTAGGATTTACAAAAAAAAAAAAAAAAAAAAAAAATTGTTCCAGAAGTTTGAAGTTCCCAGAGACTAGAAAGTTCATATCCTTTTGGGTCTTTTCTATGATGATTATGTAGAAATTGGGAAGAGATTTCTTTGAAGGAAAAGTACATGAGATTTGTTCACTGCTGTGAAGAGAAATCTTTTCCTTGGCTATCTCTGTTTTGAAGAGTACCATCAGGCTTTCCCCATCTTTTCTAGCAAGAAAAGGAATGTACCTTCATAGTAGAGAGTTCATTTAGCATGCCTGAGGCCCTGGAGTCTAGCCTAATACTGGGGCGAGGGGGAAGCCTTCTGGCTCTGCTGGGGAGCTTTTCTGTCTAGACACAACATGGTAGAAATGTGTCTGCAGTTGCTCACACAGGCCTTCAGGTAACCAGGATGCCCATATCCTTGTTCATTCAGTCATACAAACATTTTGCATCCAGACTCTAATCTGGGCCCTGCACTGTGATGGACACATAGAGGCATCTAGGTTGGGGTAGGATCTAGGTTTGGGGAGGGAACTTGGCTGTAAGAAGGTTAACTCTGAGCTACTGTCTGAGGATGGATGGATTACCAGGCCTGGGATACTGGGGGGGCAGCCAGGCAGGGAGCACAGCAGACACTATGGAAGGAATCATGGGAGTTTTCTGGGTGTCTCACAAGGAAATTTCCCTAGGGACTACTTGTTTAGGGTAAGTCCCTGAAACTTTAGCTAATTTCCTTCTTTCTTTCAGCATTTCTTTTCTGCATATGTGTACATATGTGTTTGCCTATGTGGGGGCATGCATGTGTACACATATGTATGGACACATGTGGAGACCTGAAACTGATGTTGAGTGTCTTCCTCAGTCTTGCTCCACTTTATTCTTTGAGGCAGGGTCTCTCTATGGGCCTGGCCCTCACCAATTCCAGCTAGTCAGGTAGCGAGCCAGCTTGCTCTAGGGATCCTGTCTCTGCCTCCCATGCTAGGAGTACAGGTGCCTGCTTGGCTTTTATAGGAGAGCTGGGAATGAGAACTTCAGGCCTCTTGCTTGAATGGCAAATGCTCTATCCACTGAGCCATCTCCCCAGCCCCAACCCCACTTTACTTCTCCCAAACTATTTGCTTATGTCTTTCTGAACTTAGTAATTCCACATGTGGGCACTTGTTGTGGGCCTGTGCAGAGTACAAATACACAGAAGTCACTGTTTGGTGGAGCTTACATTCTCGGAAGAGACCAGTAAACAGAATAAGGTGTAAAATATGTAATAAGAGAAGGTAGATAGTAAGAACCCAGAAGAAATGTTAAACAGGATAGGAACACAGGGGCTTCGAAGTGGTATGTGGTGACATTTTGGATTGTGTAGTGAATGCACCCCCCCCCACCCCCGCTTGAAGATACCGCCTGAACAGAGCCGGAAGGAGGAAGCCATGAGAATCTTCCGGGAGGAGTATACCCAGGCAGAGGGAACAGAATGTGCAAAGGTCCTGAGCTGGGGTCTGGCAAATCTGAGCCCTTGTGGTAACCTGAGCAAGGAGTAGAGAAGAGGAGGAGGTCAGGAATAGAATGAAGAGATGTGGAAGAGATTGAAGAAGGCTGAGAAAGCTTGGGTTATACTTACTCTGAGTGAACTGGATGCCCTTGAAAGGCTCTGAAGTTAGGGGTCCTGGTCTGACTCAGCTTTAAGCAGGATGCCCTGGACTGGTGTGGGGTTCTGAAGAGCCAGGACACCTTCCCTGTGGGCTAAAGCCACTCAGCCACACATCTGTTTCCAAGCATCTGATCTTTGGCTGCACTTTCCCCCAGGGATGTGACATATTGGACCCAGAGTGTGGGGAATGCAAGACCCAGGGCCAGCAGAAGTGCCCTGGCAGAGCCTGCCACTGCCCTGCACAGCCAAGATGAGAGCAATCAACTTTACTGACCTGTCTCTTCTCCTTTGAAGGAGCAAACAGCCACCTCCTCTGCCCACAATAGCCCTGGCTGTGGAATGCAACAGCAGGCATAGCTTCTATGAACTGACCTTCCTCTCAGTACAGGCCTACTTCAAGAGCTCCAGTCAAGACTCAGTTAAGCTACTGGGTCCTGGACATTGACCTGGAGAGAGGGTCCCCAGATCCTTGGTCAGGGGGATCCAGATCCACTAGCTACAAATCTGCTCCAACAGTGACTTCTGGAAGCAGCCGGGGGAAAGGTCACCTCCAAGTGCCAGGAGGGACCAGAAGGAAGGTTTGCCCACTTGTTCTGGGGTGTCTGTAAGATGACCCCTGCCTGGCCCTCCTCTCCCCTCTCCATCTGTAATGGGGCTGGGAAGGTCCATTCCCTTGCTCAGTTTGTTTCTTCATCTGTAAACTGCTTGGCTAGGGTGCCAACCCAGTGTGGACTAAAGGGCACAGCTGGGTACCCAGCACCCGCTGCTCACGTGTTTCCTTGGCCTTCGCTTTCCTCCTTAAGCCTATTCAAACGCATTCCAGGATGGCTTCTGACTGAAGTCTGCAGCCCCCTTTGTGGACTGGGAGCACCGTACAGCTGTGGGAAGGTACCTCCAGTATCCATGGTCTAACGTGGTGGTCAGCAAGCCTCCGCGGACAGTCGCGGAGGCCAAGGGCAGCTCAGCGATCTCACGCTCTCCACGGGTGACCATGGCCGCCCTAGGAAAGACCAGATACCGTATTTCTTCAATAAGATGTTCCGCTGGGCTAGTTTCCCACAGTATCCCGCATAGACCGAGGGCGCACAGTCGCCTACGTAGGCTGGGGAGGAAAGAGGGCTGCCCAGACGAATCCGGCAACGTGGCCCCACAGTGTCCGCCCCACGTGGCCTTCACCCAGGTTCGTCCGGGCTTTCCGTGGGTCCTCAGGCCCGCATCTAGCGCACACCTGGGGACCGATGGCGAGTCATGGAGAGGGGTGGGGTGCGCAGGTCTCGGGCGGGCATTTCGAAACGCGTGGGCCAAAAGCTGCAGGCCCGGCCGGGGGCGGGGCGGGGCGCGTGATGCGCGGCGCTGGCCAATGGGGCGGGCGGCCGAGGCCGAGCCTCCTGCGAGCCTTCGCGGCGCCCGCGGCGTCACGTGAGCGGCCGGGAGTGAGTGCTGAGAGCCGCGGGCGCCGGGGCTCCGCTGCAGGACCGCGGGAGCCGCCGGGAGCGCAGGATCGGCTCGGACCCGGGCCGGGCTGCAGCGGGCCGGGCCCGCGCCTGGCGACGCCGAGTTCAGGTGGGAGAGCCGCGTGGACCCGCCCGGGTGACCGCAGGCGGTCCTCGGGCACGCGCTGCTTGAGATCCGGGTGCCTGGGGATGCGGGAGGAGCGGGGTGTGAGCACAGGGCCCGCGGAGGGTGACCCCGGTGTCCGCAGCTTCCTTCCACGGAGACCCCGCGTGTTCCTGGCGCTCTTCGCGGCCCGCGATCCCATATGGCGGCGGAGGTTACTGTCGGTCACCGCGACAGCGGTGCGGACCGGGGGCCACGGGCCCAGAGCCCAGCCCGGTGCGCTCCGGCGCTGTGCGGAGGGGTCTGGGTAGCTCCCCAACACCCCCACGCAGTTCACATTCGTGAGTGGGCATCCACACGCGGGCACCTGGCGGACACCCGCACGGACGCATTCTCCGCACTCCCCGCGGTGCACTGCGCCCCACACACGCAGTCACAAGACACAAACTCACACCCATTTGCGCACACACGCGACGGCGACCCGCGCGTACACTCTGACTCCTTGAGCAGTCACGGGACCCCCTTAGACCCAATACTACCTGGGAGATGGGCGAGGGTAGCTGCGGGGCCTGGATGGCCACCCCCTCTTCCTTCTCCACCTGGTAGTTACCCTTGGAGCCCCCTCTCCAGGGCGGCAGTGTTTCCACCCACGGTCCTGTAAAGGTGATGAAATCCCAAATGTTTGTGTCCTTCAGCGGTTTTCCCTTACTAGGACTGGTTTGTTGACCCGTGAGGAGCCCCTGCCACCCTACAGGTGCGAGAATACCAAGACTTGGTAACTTTGGGGCCTTCGCGCTGCTCAGGGAAGAGACTCTTATTTTGAAGAGCGGCCCCCATTTGCCACCCCCGTGATTTGCACGCTGACCCAATGGCTAGCCCTTGGCCAGCTCTCGGCTTGTTATCAATTACATGTTGTTCCTACAGCCGCTGTGTCCCCGGGAGGATAAACAGCAGGCCTGGCCGGCTGAGAGAGGGGGCGGAGCCCAGCGGCCAGCTGGGGACCGTGCCCAGAACAGGATGTCCCCTCCCCCTGCAAGCAGCCGCGTCTCTGGCAGCGCCACGTGCAGCTGTTTTTCAGGGACCAGAGCAGACTTGAGCGCGGGCACCACTTCGCTCAGGCTGGGCTCTGGGAAGTCCTGAACCCCCCTGGGCTCTTAGTGCCTCCCCACCGCGGAGATCCTCAACTCCGTGTTCAGATCCTGTTGACTGGCAGGGGCCACCCCACTCCTGGATCCTGGAATCACCTTCTTGAGGCACGCTCATTCAGCAAACACTGCTAGGCCCTGTTTTGGACTCTAGGATCAAGCCCTGTGCTTGGACAGAAAGAACTGCTTGTATTCTGGTAGGGAGGTAGACAGGAAACAAAGCACAAAGTTTGTCACAACCTTGCCTGCTGGGAAGAATAGAATATGAGGTTGTCTTAACAGAAAGTGACTTCTGAGCTGGGATCTAAATAAGGAGTTCCCTTCTGGAGTGCTGGGAAAGGAGGGACCCCTCTGCAGGGTAATCAGAGATCAAGTGTTTGGATGGGCAGGGCCCTGGTGCCCTGGACTGCCTGCCTAGAGGGACCCCACACCTTTCTTTGGAATTCCTTGAAGTTAGTTTTGGCCTATACTCACACTTTTGTACCCATTTTCTCCTTCCCTCCCCTCCCCCCTTCCCTTCCTCATTCTCTGTTTTTCTTCCCAATCCCTCTTTCCAATAGGGTCTCACCATAGCTAGCGTAGAATTCATGATCCTCCAGCCTCAGCATCCTGAGTGCTGGGATTATAGGCTGAGCCACCTATGCCCAACACCACGTTTTTTTAAAAAAATATTTTATTTATTTTTATTTTATGTGTATGCATGTATTGCCTGCATGTAGGTAAGTGCACCCGTGTCATGCAATGCCCTCAGAAGACAGAAGAGACTGTCAGATCCCCTGGAACTGGAGTTACCGACAGTTGTTAGCTGTCATGTGGGTACTGGGATTCAAACCCTGGTCTTCTGCAAGAACAGTCAGTGTTCTTAACCGCTGTGCTCTCTCTCCAGCCCTCACAGTTTTCTTGGGGGGGGTCTTTTTGAGACAGGGTCTCCCTGTAGCCCCAGCTGTCCTGGAATTTACTATGTAGACTAGGCTGGCCTTGAACTCACAGAGATCTGCCTGCCTCTGCCTCCTGAGTGCTGGGATTAAAGGTGTGCGCCACCTCGCCCAGCACAGTTTGTTTTTATACTGCATCTATACCACATCTTGGTTTCTATCCTTAAAAGAAGCCAAGGTAGGGTCTGGAGAGCTGGCTTGGTGGTTAAGAGTACTGACTGCCCTTGCAGAAGAGCAGGGGTTTGGTTCCCAGCACTCACATGGAAGCTAACAACCATCCATAACTCCACTTTCAGGGAACCCAGCACCTTCCTCTGGCTTCCGTGGGCATTGCACACAAGTGCACTTACATACATGCAGGCATAACGTTCATTACACATAAATAAATTTTTAAAAATTAAAAAAGGAAAGCCAAGATGCATCATCCCACATGGAAACAATGTGATTGCTCAGTGAATCCAGGTGTGGTGACATTTCAGGGGAGATTTTGGGAAAGCCAGAGAGTTCGCCCCCACCCCCATTTCCCAATTCCTTAGTGCTCCAGCACAGAGGCAGCAGGACCCAGTGCTTCTTGCATTTGAAGGCATGCTTAAGTGTGCAGACTCCAGTCAATGCTCAGTACACCTCACTGGGTGCCAGAGAGGGTGTGCCACATGCCTGAGGTCACCAATCTGATAGTTGTAGTTAAGGTGTCTGCAGGGAAGATGGCTTACAGATGGGGTTGGGAGACCTAGGATGGAGTGTAGGCCCTGCCTGGCCTTACTGTCCTTCACACTGCTCAGCACTCTTATTCCTCCCCAGTACGCTTAGTGAAAAGTGTGTATTTTAAAGCACAGTCCCAGTTTTAAATCCTTAACTGAGTATTTAAACCAAACAATCAGATGGCCTCCTGGTAAGGTAGCCCTGGGACTCAGTTCTTGCCTTCATTCCCTGAATACATAGCAGGAGAGATATTTGGAGACCACTTAGGCATTGAATAGTTGGGGAAACTGAGGCATGGGGGAGCAGGATGACTGCCTGTTGGTCACTGGGCAATAATACCAGGCCCCAGGCTGTGGGGTAATCCTGGAGACAGAAAGGGCAGAGAATCTGGACTCCCATGCTGGGCATTCCCCTTCCCCAACCCTGATAAACACCCAGCCAGCTATGGTCACTGGGCGGGGACAAAGGTCCAGAGAAGTGGCCCCGTCACAGCCGGACAGTGTTGACTCACCTTGAATGCCAGACCTAGCATGGCCTTTGGCTTCAGAGGACACAGCACTCCCTCTCTTCTCTACCAACATTCTCTGAGTCTCTCTTGGGCACCAGGTGTGGCGCTGAGCGCTGGGGACACAGCAGAGTGTGCTGGCTAGAGGAGGCGGGCATCACCTGAGCCCTGCCAAGGCGGTGAGTGGCCCAGACAGAAGATCTGCGGCATGGGGGGGCCAGGACAGGAGACTTCACTTCCCCACATTGGCCAAAAGCAACTCTTGTCTCCCATTCTGCTTGATGGTTGTGAGGTCCAAGGAGATTGCCCACAGGCTAGGATCTGGGACCTTCTATGGACTCATGGCCATCAGGAGCCAGATGTGGCAAATCATAACGAGAAAGCATCAGGTACCAAGGAGAGTGCTTTGCCCATGCCCGTGTTACCCCTCCTAGTCACACAGGAGGAAGGTGGCTCTTGATGGTCTAAGAACTGGGGATACAGCCCATGAAGACAGGTGCTTACTGGGGTTCAACTTTTTGTCTCCAAATTATAGTTTCCAGGTTAAAAATATAGGCAATCTAGTTAAATGTAAAAATAAACCAAAAGCATGTCCCATCCAATTCTGAGTATGTCATGCTTCATTAACAGTAGTTTGTTTAAGAAAATCTGAAATTAATATCTAACAGGCACTCCATGTTTTTATTTGCTCAACCTGGCAACAGAGAGAAGCCCCAACAACATAGGGTCAGAGAGCAGGTGGCCTTTCTTCTTCCCACCCCCTCTCTGGCTCAATAAGAGAAGAGTTTGGGATCCTTGGACTTCCAGTGCCTTCCACCCTGGCTGCTCTGGGGTCCAGAGCCTCCTCTCCTATGGAATCAGCTGTTCGTAGACAAGAGCATTTCTTGTCATGTTCTTTTCCAGGATGACTCTGGAAAATCTGTTTGAAACCAGAAGTGTCCTGGGTTGTGCAACGGGCCTAGAGAGGGCTCTTTTGCAAACAGAGTGGTGCAATTTCTAAAAACACTCTTGCAGGCCCTGTTCTCCCTCGGGATGGAGGCAGGCTCCAGACATTTGGCCACAGGAGGCCTTGGGCAGACAGCGGAGGGTGGGGACCACAAAGCGCCGGTGAACACAGCATCCTTCTGACCAGACCTCCCTTGTTCCTCTCTGCAGTCGCCTCCTGCACGGCCAGACCAGCATGGTGGACCACTTGCTTCCAGTGGACGAGACCTTCTCGTCGGCGAAATGCCCAGTAGGTTACCTGGGTGGCAGGCTGGCCAATCGACAGCCATACCATATGTTGCCCTCACCTGTCTCTGAGGATGACAGCGATGTCTCTAGCCCCTGCTCCTGTGCCAGCCCTGACTCTCAAGCCTTCTGTTCCTGCTACAATACAGGCCCAGGCTCTGAGGCCCAGGACAGCATCTTGGATTTCCTGCTGTCCCAGGCCACACTGGGCAGTGGTGGTGACAGTGGGGGCATTGGAGATAACAGTGGCCCTGTGACCTGGGGGTCCTGGAGGAGGGCCCCCGTGCCACTGAAGGGGGAACATTTTTGCTTCCCTGAGTTCCCATTGGGTGACCCTGATGACATCCCCAGGCCCTTCCAGCCTACCCTGGAGGAGATCGAAGAGTTCCTGGAAGAGAACATGGAGGCAGAGGTCAAGGAAGCCCCAGAGGGTGGCAGCAGGGACCCAGAGGCCTGCAGCCAGCTCTCAGCTGAGCCACACCGGAGCCACCTCCATCTGGAGTCTGGTGGCAGAGAGTGCTGTACCCCACCACCAAGCAGCACCAGTGGGGGTGGTGCTCAGGGTACAGGTGAGGGCTCAACATCTGACAGCCCTGTCCCTGTGCTGCTGCAGATCCAGCCCATGGCTGTGAAGCAGGAGGCAGGCACAGGGCCAGCCTCCCCAGGGCAGGCTCCAGAGAGCGTCAAGGTTGCTCAGCTCCTGGTCAACATCCAGGGGCAGACCTTTGCACTCCTGCCTCAGGTGGTACCATCTTCCAACTTGAACCTGCCCTCGAAGTTTGTGCGCATCGCCCCTGTGCCCATTGCGGCCAAACCCATTGGCTCGGGACCCCTAGGGCCCGGCTCTGCTGGCCTCCTTGTGGGCCAGAAGTTCCCCAAGAACCCAGCAGCAGAACTCATCAAAATGCACAAATGTACTTTCCCTGGCTGCAGCAAGATGTATACCAAGAGCAGCCACCTCAAGGCCCACCTACGCCGGCACACAGGCGAGAAGCCCTTTGCCTGCACCTGGCCGGGCTGCGGCTGGAGGTCAGTATGTGTGAACAGGCTGGGCAGCAAGCAAGGCCTGCTCATTTCTGCTGGCTTGGGTGTGTGGCCAAGGCCCCTTTCTCTGTTAGACAAGGTGGATTAGGAAAGGAATAAGGGGGCAGCCAGGGGACCTGGGTCAGACCTGGCAAGGCTGCCAGAGACTTCCTTGTCCTACCTGGTGACTAAAGCCCAAAACCACCTGGTCGCTGGTTTCTTAATGACCAGGTAAGGCTTGCTGGGGCTTGTGCTGCCTACTTGGTCTCCCAAGCTAGAATGAAGGATGAGGGGCTGGGCTGAAGAGGAAAGATGCTCAGCTAAGGGACAACTGAGTGTGTGGCACACAAACCACAGGCCAGACAAAGGCTAACCCAGGCCTTACAGCATCCTCAGGGTAAGTACCACTATCATACCCAGTGTGTTTTTGATGGGTACAGGCAGGCTCTGACTGGCCAAATACCAACCAGGTATTAGTACTCTGAATGGGATGTGAGCCCCAGGGCTTAAGCTAGAGAGTCACATCCCCAAAATGCTACTTCCCCAACCAGGAAATGAGCATTGTTCATAGGTATGGGTCAAGCCTGGCCCATGCTTCTTCCTCTGAGACCTGGAGGTGTATCTGGGAAGCCACAGAAAACAGCCAAAAGGAAGGGCAGGTGGCTGAGATATGGGGGTCAAAGCTGGCAGAATTCTTTAGACTTCACTCTGCACAGCAGGGTGTCCAGGGCAAGGTGTCTCTTCCAGACTTCTCAGCCTCAGTGTCAGGGACAAATGGAACCATAGCGTCACCCTGCTCTGAGCCCTGGGTACTGCTCACCCTGTTCAGGAGGCAAGTGACCTATAGAAGTTCACATGATCAGAGTTATAGCTGGGCACAGGATGCTCTAGCCTTTGTGGAGAGGGCGAGTGTGAGCAGCACAGTCCTGTCTTGGCTGTCATGTGCATTGAGTGTGTCAGATGTGGCTCATCTCTGTGCACTGGGATACATGTATGGCTGGACCATGCAAGTGAATGCCTGCTATATGTGTGCATGCCTACCTGTGAGTGGTGTGATCTGTGTATCTGGTGTGTGGGGTGGCACACAGGAACAGTCACAGAGGTGGTTTTCTGGGCCAGCCTCGTTCTGAGCTGGGGTGCTGGCCCCAGGCAGGTGCTAGCCTGCTGAGGCTGTGTGGAGGGACAACAGTGACTGTAAGATGCAGTGATGGCAGTGCCTCCTCTCAGGCACTGAGCTGGCCAGAGAAGGAACTTTGCCAGGCAATGTCTTAAGTTGTGGGGGTTCTTTCTGAGAGGTGTTTTGTCTTCTTCACCCCTGTTCGGATTGATTGAGAGTACCCCAGGGCTCCTAGGCATGCTGTTCCCTCTTCTCTGAGCCACATGTCTTGGTGCACTGAGCAGGCACAGGACTGTCAGCAGAAGCCCAGTCCAGACAGAGGGACCTAGGGATGCATTAACTGAGGAAGGAGAACAGTGGTCCCAAATTGGAGGAGGCAGTAGGGTTAGGGGTCACCTTGGAGCAGCCACCAACTTGATGTTTTCTTTTTTTAATATTTATTTATTTAATGTGTATAAGTGTGTTGCCTGCATGTATGTAAGTGCACCTGTTTTGTGTAATGCCCACAGAGGCCAGAAGAGGGAATTGGATTCCCCTGGAACTAGAGTTATGGACAGTTGTTAGCTGCCATGTGGGTGCTGGAAATTGAACCTAGGTCCTCTGCACGAGCAGCCAGTGCTCTTAACTGCTGAGCCATCTCTCTAGCCCCTGAATCTGATATATTCTATCTGTGCCCTGGAGCCTAGGACTGGTGTAGGGGTTTCACTGTACCCACTTTTCATGAGACATACTGTCAAACCCCCAAAGTCAGTGTGAGGAGGAAACTTGAAGGTGTCCTACCTGGATACCTTGGGAGATACCCTCACTCACAGGGATTGCTCATGGGCAAGCAGTTAGACGGCCTTCTCCTAATAGTCCTGACTCCACCTTTCCAGCTCTGTACCCTGACTGATATTGCCCATCTGACTGGCATGGCAAGGAGGTAAGGCAGGGAGGGCTGCAGGCTGTGAGGCAGGTCATTGCCCACTGCACAGTTGTTCTGGGAGGCAGGAGGCATGCATGAGAGTGATCTGTACAGATCTGTATGAAAGGACTGTGGCTCTGACCCTCAGCTTTGCACTGGCCCCTTGTCAAGGCAGGACCCACTCGGAAGGGCTAGGGTGGTCTTTGACATGGCATCCATGCAGAACATTCCTCAGAGGCTGTTCCCACTGTCACCCCTCTCCAGGCTCCCAGAGACCTTTCCCCTGTGCAGCAGCTGCCTCAGGGGAGGCTTGGTGGTCTGAAGGTGTGGAACCCACAGGATGTTCTCAAGATGAGAAGCCTAGGCGTTGTGCCTAGGAGACCTGCACGTACTGTAGGTGTGGAGCCTATCTTCTTCCCCAGGCATTAGAGTGGTCATCAGTTCCTTGCTTTCAGTCAGGTGGGAAGATGGACCCTATTCTGGGCCAGGATGTGATGTGATGATGATGATGATGATGATGATGATGATGATGATGTGATGATGATGGTGGTGGTGGTGGTGGTGGTGGTGGTGGTAACATGCCATTCACAGTTCTGAGTCATTTACTATATGCTGTAATGATTTCCAGTCTCTGAGAGCCAGAGTCCCCCACCAACCCCTTCACTTGTGTGTACCTTCCATGGGGAGCTCATTACTCCCTGATGTTAATCTGGCTTTTAGATACAGCACTTTGGTGCTCTTGGGCCCCTGTCCGGCCTTCTCACTCTGGCCCATAGCCTGCCCAGCCTCCACCTTTTCCTGAGCAGCATCAGCCGTGCCAACCTCCCCTCTGTTTCCCTTACTGCATTATGGGTGAATCGATGTTTGTGGTGGCCCAGCCTTTACTGTGCAACCTCCCCTTCTCCCCCACCACACATCATCTCATTGAGTCTTCACAACAGCCCCATGGAGCATAGGCACCAACTACATTCTAACAGAGGGGGGATCTAAGGCATAGGACAAACGAATGACTTGCCACAGGGATATAGCTGGTGAGTGTGGATTTTAAGTGTGCCCCTCTGGGTACCATTAATGGAGAATGGTCCTCTAGCAGTACAACCAGGTACTAAAGTGGCCTGTGCGTGTGTGTGTGTGTGTGTGTGTGTGTGTGTGTGTGTGTGTACAGATGTGTTCAGGTATGCATGCACATGAAGGCATCTTCAAGGATCTTTCTCAGTATCTCTCTACCTTGTCTTTTGAGACAGGGTCTGTCATTGAACCTGGAGTTCACTAAATAGCTAAGCTGTTCTGGCCAGTGAGGGATCTGCCTGCCTCTGCCCTACCAGTGCTGGGATTATAGGCACACCCTGCATTTTACCAACTAAGCCATCTTCCTGGCCATAGGCTGTGCTTTTTCTGATGTTGTGTTCCCAAGTGTGGGAAAAGAGATAGCTAACAGCAGCACGCATAGTGGTGCCCTGATGAGCACGAGGCACTGCTCTGAGCATGCTGCATCTTAGATCATTAAACTTTCCAAAATTAGTCTATGAGATGGACCCATTTTACAGAGGAGGAAATGGAGGTACGGAGCAGTTAAATAAGCTTTCTGGTGCCATACAAGTTATAAGTGGCAGAGCCAGGGGTTTAACAGCTGTCTACTTCCCTGCCCACCCTAGACTCAGTTGGTTCTCCATGTCCCCACTGCACACCTTCCTGGGGAGAGCTTGGAGTATGGAGAAAGGCCCCTCCACCTACAGCTGGGCCTGGCTGGCCCAGCAAGTTCTTCCTATATTTCCTGTCTGGCTCTGATACAGGCACTGGGTCCTGAGCTCCTAGAACTTGCTTGCACCCTCTCCTCTGTCCCTGCTCAGCCCAGTGGACCTTCCCACAGCTGAGGTGACACCTGCCCCAGTCCAGTGCACACTGCCTTCTGCTTTCATCCTGTACCCAGGATTCCCTGCCCCTCTCCTCGTGGAACGTGATTTTGTGTACAGGAGGGACTGAAACCAGCTGACCTGTTCTCGTCTAACCATCTGGGAAATGGCTGTTTGCCGGCCTTCCTAGAAGTTTCCTTGCCTCTCAGACACAGGCCTCCTTTGTTCTTTGCAGCGGAACACCCTGTTCCAGAGTGGTCAGGCTGCTCCTTCCAGAAAGAATCTCGCTCAGCCATAAAGTGAATATTAATAGCTGTCAGCCGTCTGTGTGGCCTGTACTACTGGTATCCTTAGTGGACACAGGAGGTTCAGAGGGCAGTGAAATCCAAAACCACTGAGCTTTGGAGTAGGTGGGCACAGGATTCAAACCTAGTAGTCTGGCCAGCTCTCTTACCCCTATCATTGCTGCGTATATGTGAGGATACATTTTATGTATGGCCTTATGATTGGCCGAAGCCCCACGTCTCACCCACACAAACTGAGGGGTTGCAGTTCTGAGGCTTAATGGTGGATGACCATTGCTTTCTGGCACATGGCAGTGTCTCAAGGAATGGGGCAACTTCATACAAAGTTGCTGTAGCTCCAGCATTGGTGTTCCAGGTGGCTCCAGAGAGTCACCTGGCTCCTCTGCTTCCTCTTCCTGTGACCCAGCCACAGGAGTTATGATTCTGAGCCACATGGCTCCTGGTCTTACACTCAACTCCTTGTGTATAAGAGCTCACAGTTCTTAAACAATTGTCATGTCTGAAGCATTGCTCTGAACATGTATGTCATTGCCTGCCACAGGCCTCTGGAATAGGTCTGTCATCATCCCTGTCTCTTGCTGGGGAAACTGAGGCTTAGCAAACTAGGCAACCCTTCCTGGCCCTGTCCACAGGCTGTGTCTTACCCAACCAATCCCTTGCCCCAGTGTTACCCCAGATCTCTTTTGGTTGCTGTTTAGGAGGATGAGGCCCTGTGAGGCTGGGGTCATCTTCAGCTGAATTGAAATGACAGGCCTCTCAGGTACCAGGGAGGCTGTGAAGCAGAGAAGGGTTCTGGAGTGAGGACAGCTTGTTCTTGGCCTGGCTGCCCCTCAGCTAGCTACCTGTCCTCCTCATGTCACCATAACCAGGGGGATGTTGCCCATGCACTGGAAGGCAGGCAGGAAGTGAGGAGGAAAACTGAGGCGGAGGGTGTTGAGGACCACACTAGCATGGTGGGAATGTTCAAAGCTAACCCCTTCCTAAGCAAGGCTCTCTGCCCATGGCCATTGGAAGCTGTGTGCCCAACTTTTGCTGGGGGCAGGTGACTCTGGCCCAGGGTCTTGGTGACACACACCACCCAACCAACCAGAGGAGGCCAGAGGTGGCTGGACATCTGCTGTCCCCAGAGCAGACAGGCCAGGTGAGGAGGCTTTGTTCAGGACTCAATTGTTCTGTCCTGATGAACCTCGGTTCACATCCTTGTGAGCATCTTCTGGTCAGAAAGTCTACTGAAGGCTGTCCTTGTACCAGGCCCCTCTGAGACTTGAGATAAGATTTAAGGGCAGCAACTTATACTGCAGCAGAGAGGTACTACACTTCCAGCAGCACAAGAGGCCAAAGCCCTGGTGTCCTGAGCCTTGCTCAGTGCCTGTGCTACTGGTCTTTCTGCATTCCCCAGGCTGTGGGTCAAGGCTGCCCTACCACAGGATCAGAGTCAAGGTAGTTGCAGTCCCTGCCACTAGGTGTGATGATCTTGCTTTCCTCCACTTAATCTGCCTCACTGACAGGCCTGCTTAGGAATGGGGTGCCAGGCCTGGAGTTTCTGTGTGTACCTGAGTGTGCCCAGTGAACAGTGTGTACATGCACTGGCAGCCCTTCCTCATCCTGGAGTGCCTTCTCTATTTCAGTGTACCTCCTGGACACTTCCCATGAAGCAGCAGCTGGCTGATCATAGGGAATCAGGCAATGGTGTCCTTCCTGGAGCTGGTACTATGTAGGGACAGCTGAGCATCATCAAAGAGTTGAAATGAACTTGAAATTGCAGTAGGGCTGAGGTATTGGTGGAGTACTTGCCTGGCACGCACAAAAGGAAAGATAATAAAATTGCAGTGGTAGCAAGAGCCCAGGAAGAGACACAGATGGGGTGCAGGCCCAGGAGTTGGTGAACTCTGCAGGATGGGTAGGAGAGAGCAGAAGTGGGAAGAGGAGACAGTGCAAGTACCCTGTGGCAAGAGAGAGGAGGTGGAGCAGGGAAGAAGTCACTGTGGGGTGAGGGTGAGGAGGGTAGTGAGGTCCCAGGGGTGGGATTGCCAGAACCAGGGCCAGGTAGTGAGAGCCACAGGTCCCTGAAGTCAGCAGCAAGTAGCCTGGGTATCTTGGGCTGGCTCTGGTTCCTGCCTGTTCAGTGGGTGTCTGCTCCCAGGCCTGCAGTAGTGGAGACTGGTGTTATAGGATGCCCTTTAATTGCTTAGGAAGAAATTCCTTGCCAGGGTATTTGAAGGCATCTTAGAGAGCCCCACTTCCAGAATGGCAGGGTGCAAGAACTAGGCAGACTCAAGGCTAAGGTCCTTACTCCCTGTTGAAATGGAAGCTGAGGAGCCAGGCACTGGCTGTGGACTGCAGAGGTCATGTGTTCCTTTGGCTGGGTTTCCCTAGACCTTCATGGGTGCCCCCCCACCCTCCTCTGGGGGAAGCCCTGGTGGGGAGGAGATAGAGTGATGCTGTTACCAGCACTTGAGTGATCCAGGGCACAGGGCCTCAGCAACTGACTGAGTGCTGGGGAGAAAGTCCTAGGGGGCCAGCAGCCTTAGGTTCTTTTAGGGTGCAGAGCAGACCTGTGAGTCTTTAATCCATGGCTGTTGCCCTCTTGTGGGACCCAGGAACCCAGGGAGTTGCCAGGCCCTCACCAGGTGGATGTAGGGATGGACTGACATCCTAAGAATCAGCCTGACTTGGCCTGGCCACCGCACCCTGGTCCTGGGGAGGCTGCAGGGCTGGCCATGGGATTGTGCTGCACACGCTGGCCTGGCTGACCGCCGTGTCCCACAGGTTCTCACGCTCCGATGAGCTGTCCCGGCACCGGCGTTCCCACTCGGGTGTGAAGCCATACCAGTGTCCTGTGTGCGAGAAGAAGTTCGCGCGGAGTGACCACCTCTCCAAACACATCAAGGTGCACCGCTTCCCGCGGAGCAGCCGTGCCGTGCGCACCATCAACTGAGCGCCACGGCTGCCCCACCCCAGGCCCCACTTTTTTTTTAAAAAGCAATAATTTATTTGCCTCCATCAGAGGGATGTGACAACTACCAGCCCCACTTCTGAAGCCTAGGAGGTATGACCCAGAGCCACCATGGCTGCCTTTCCAGGAGGACCTAGAGCCCCCACACTCCCTGTGAGGCTGGTTCCCCTGGGGCCGAGGCAGGCCTGCCTGCGCCCATGTGCCATTGTGCCTTCCCTACAGCCACCAGCTGGAAGCAGGGTTTAGCGTGCCCTAGCCCTTTCCCCTGGGCTCCCCGCTTGGGACAAAGCCAACACTTTTATTGCTGGGGAAGGAGAAATGTTTGGGCCCTGTTGAAATGTTAGTTCCCAGATGGAGCCATTGCGGGAAGAAGGAAGTAGGCTAAAAGTGCAGGGCTGCACTGTGGTGTGGGGGCTACCATGTGCAAGAGGCAGCATTCAACTTGAACGTTCAACTTAGCATAGCAGAGACCTGGCCGGAAAGCCTGAATGTGGGAGTGAGGTAAAGAAGTGGACCTCCAGGGCGGTAATGCATGTGCTTAAATTAAATGTGCAAGACAGAGCCATACCCACCTGTGGTCCCCTCCTCCAGACATCAGATTGTATTGGGTGGAAGGAAGGGGAACAGGGGCAGTGGGTGCTGAGGAACCAGCTAGCGCCTCCCTTCCTGACTTAGATTTGCATTCCTCATCTTGTCTAGAAATTAATACCAATTGAACTAGCTTGTTTTGATAGGTCTGTTTCACATCCTATGAATGTATGTAAATAAACTGTATATAAATACGCATCTGCGTAAAATATCTTTTAATAACACGTCGACATTTGTGTAAATTTGAAATTTAAAAAATTCTATAAAGTTGGTGTACATATGTTACAATTATGTATATTTTCTTTGGTCCTTCATAAAAATATATTTACTTTGCCAATAAAAAGATAAAAAGAACTCAAACACTGTTTGACCTTCACATGCTGGCTCCCATCGCTCGCCTCACACTGGGGGTGGTTCTGGGGCTGAGCCTGACTGGATCTGCTTCTTCCATCTCCCCACCCAGACCTCCCTCTCCAGTCCGTGTTTGGTGTCACCTGTGGGAAGTGTCTGCAGCCAGCCAGTCACCTGCTCCCAGGATTGCTATTTGAGACCCTGGCTGGGCACTTCCTGCTACATTGGGTCTGCCAAGTAGCTACCATTTGCTTCCTGTGTGCTGAGGTGATCACTTGCCTTCTTGGCCCTCCCCTAGGCAGGTGGCCTGACTCCTGCCTGCACAGTGACTTTGACTCTCTTGGGGACCTTCACCAGACAGGGACTAGTCTCAGGCCCTCTCTTCTACCTCCCTGACTCCCAGCATGTCTGGGTTCCACTGTTGGGTTTGGATCCATGTCCTCCACAGGCTGGGCTGTAGGGTTAATGGAAGCAGAGAACCAGTGTGGTTCTGCAGGGAATGACCCCAGAGAGGTGACAGGGCTGCTGTGAGGTACACAGTAGGTCAGCCTCCCTGGCTCACCTGTACAGTATAAGGTGAGAATCTTCTAGAAATCTCTTGACCCCACTAAAAGTGCTAGGTGCTGGCTGGGCAAGGGTTTCTCAGGAGCTCTTCAGAAATCTGGAGGCAGCTGGCAGGTGGGTTTCCAGCAGAGAGATGCATACACAGCGTGGTGTGGTGCTGCCATCTCAGTAGGTGGAAGCCACTGTCCTCTCAGGCCTGGAGATGGGCTGCTGCTCTGTCCTGTCCTGTGGGAGTTGGCAGTCACTGCACACTCACGTATGACCAGTATGGCTAATTGGAGGGTGGACATCCCATCTGACCACTCTTGTGACCTCTGCCCTTTGGCCCTGACTAGATGTACTCTCTGAGGACAAACAGGCCCTGGGGAAGTGAGGCATTGATTTCCAGCTGTGTTAACGTAATCTCTCTCCATCCTTAAGCAACACAGCCACAGATACAAGGGACATTGGAGGGGCCGGGGAAGCCTATTATGTAGTCATGTTGATGACATTGAGAAGAATAAACCATGAGCCCATGTACCTCTGTGGCCAAGGACTGATGGGACATGCTATTCCCTCATCTCTGTGTGTCACCAACAGCTTAGTTGTTCTGTCCAGCTGAGCTGTGGACCATCTTGGGGCAGGGAATGTATATGGGGTGGTGTAAGTCAGTGTGGGCCCCAGATCCTTACCTGAAGCCTGTGTTGTACTCCTGCTCTTCAGTGAGTCTGTATCTGTAGCGGAGCCTGAGGGGGCACACAACAAGGCAAACTGGCTGTTGCAGTCTCCTTGCCTGTGGCCCCTCAGTGCTGCCACTTGGGGTGGGCTAATACTGCTCCAGGTTGTACCACGCATAACAGACAGGTGGAAAAGTCCCCTTGTCATAGTGTGGTGGTCTACGGTAAGTGGGGATGCAAACCTGCCTCTCAGCAGCATGGAGTCTAGAAAACCATGGGGAGCAGGTGAGGATGGCAGTGGCCCAACCTGCTTGGTACCTTTCGACCCTCTAATTTTGGTAGCTGGAAGAGAAGTGCTTGTCCTGTTCTGTGTGCAGAGAAAGCAGAAGATGTGGGCCTGTGGGCCTGCAATTATTTGCAATAGGGGAAGAATCTAGAAGATGATCCAAGTCTCCCCAAGGTCTTTGGTTAAGAATAGAGCATTGATGGTGGTGGTGCACGCCTTTAATCCCAGTGGGAGGCAGATGCAGGCGGATCTCTGTGAGTTCAAGGCCAGCCTGGTCTACATAGTAAGTTCCAGTACAGCTGGGGCTACAGGGAGACCCTGTCTCAAAAAAACTAAAAAAAAAAAAAAAAAAAAAAAAAAAGAGTAGAGCACTGTTAAAAACTAACTGGTATATCACTGTTAATGTTAACGATAGGCAATCCAGTGCTGGCTACCGCAGCATAACAGGATTCCTGAGACACCAGCTCAGCCACTGGGCTTTCAAACAGCTTGTGCCATTTTTCTACCCATCACTAGTCTTGTGAACTCCAGATGACCCTACAGCCATTTCTACATAGACCAGAGCTAAGTATCTCCTGGTAGGCTCAGAATGAAGGACTGTGCTGTGATGGGTGAAAACTCAGTCCTTCATTTGCGTGAAGGGTTGCCCATGATTGGTGCAGACAGCCTTGCCACATTCCCTTTCTGGATATATAATAAGGCAGCTCTCTAGATCCTTTTTTGAGGCAGCTAGAAGGCACCTGCCTGTGCTTGGCCTGAAACATGAGGGCCAGGAAAAGGGTTCTCCTAAGCAGAGCAGCTTTCCAAGAGAGGAAAGGGAGATGGAGAGAACACTGCAATGGGAGAGCGGCCGAGACTCCAGAGACCACAAAGCAGAAGTACAGATGCAAGAGAACTGAGGCTGGCTGGAGAAGACTGAAGAGCCAGAGACCACAAACTGCCTGTACTCTGGCCTGTACCCTGAGCCTGAGAGTTGTGACACAGAATTATAATAGTTACTCAGTGCTAGGATGCTAGTGTTAAAGCCTGGAGCAGTGCACCTCCACCCTGAGTACCTGGAGTTCCTAAGCCTCTGGCTTCTAAGCCTGGAGCAGCAGAGTACTGGCTCTTGAATTTGAATTTGATCTGAAGTCTCTGGATCTGCTGGTCTAGCCCCTACTCAATGTTCAGGACTGCCTGCTCTTGAGAGTATCTCATTTGCTCAGGGCTTCTCTCTTTCTCTCTCTCTCTCTCTCTCTCTCTCTCTCTCTCTCTCTCTCTCTCACTCACTCTCTCTCTCTCACTCTCTCTCCCTTTCCCTCTTGTCTCTGACTCAATCTGGCTTAAACTTGCCATCCTCCTGCCTCAGCCTCCTGAGTCCCAGCATGACCAGTGCCTACCAGCACACCTGGCTTCCTACTCAATGATTTCTATCAATCACAGCATCACAGAACAAAAATGAGCCATGGTGACCTTCAGTGTCGCCCCCACCCCCACCCCTAGTCAGACCATTGCTGATACCAGGTACATCAACCTGCACATGAGTCAGACCACTGCAACTCAGAAGTCCCCAAATGCTGTGGCTTTTACAAGGTAGACAGTCACATTCGTCTTTGGAAGCAGTCTGAGAAGAAGCAGACTGGGCCAAAGTGGCTCCTCCAGGCTGTAATATGTTTCCCACATGACTCAGCTGGGAGAAATGGGCAAGGGGCTGGCTGTGTGCTCGTCCCCTACTCCTAGGCACTGCCACTTCTGCTCACATTCCATTGGTCAGAAGGTAGCCCACAGCCTCAGCTTCAGTGTCCCCAGCTAGAATACTAGGGGCCCTTACAGGAACAGGAAGGGGACAAGGGGACAGTTGTGAAGGGCGGTCTGCCTCTTTACTGTGAACACTGGTGGCCTTGCTTTCCCAGGAGACCGAAGGATGGCACCTGTGTGGCACCAGTTGAAGTTTGCTTGCAGGGCCTCATAGATGCGATCCCTAATCACATCCCTAATCATATTGGTATGGGGCCACTGGTAGGACTTCAGCACAGAGGGTTGTCAGGAAGGGAAACCAGAAATAGGACCCAGGAGCTTCCATGCAGGCTGCCTTGGCTGGGGAACCCTAACTGCTGTGGACAGAAGCCAATCCTTGTGTCTCATCATGGTCTGCTCCTGAATATGGCCAAGATCTACAGAGGGGTCACAGTGTGGAGGGGACCATCAGGAATTCTAGGGAGACTAGCTTTCTATTACATTGCCTAAGAGTGTCAAAGGCACAGGCAGGGGAAACTGTTGGGTATGGGCATGGACCTCGTAGGCATGAAAAGGAGATCTGAACCTAGGAACCAGGTCTCAATAGGTCTTGCTTCATTTGAGAAGAGACATGGTAGAGTTGGCAGTGTGGGTAGGGCCCTTTCAAAGGTGCAGAGTGAGCAGCATCCATACAGAAAGCGCATACCTGTACCTCACCACCTTCAATAAGGAAGGGATGAAGGGCTGGGAGGATGGCTCAGTGGTTAAGAGGGCATGCTGCTCTTTCAGTGGACCAGCGCTCAGTTCCTAGCAAACACATCAGGTGGTTCATAACTCTAGCTCCAGGGGATCCGATACCTTTTTCTGGATTCTGGTGGCACCAGTATGCACATGTGCCATCATGCACATGAGCATTCAAACATATAAAATAAAAGTAAAATCCTTTTTTAAAAAAAGGAAGGGATGGTCCTGGCTTCTGGGAAGCCCTGAAGAGACCCAGGCTGCAATCAAAGCACCAGCAGAGGGTAAAAGGGGTGGTGAGATGGAGAAGAGAGGCTGCGAGGAAGCAGACCTGCAGGGACTGTGGGCAGGAAGGAGGGCGGTGACTTGCCAGTCCTGCTGCAGACGAGGCTACATGGGCATTTCCCAGTGCGGTGGAAAAGGTGGAGGAAAAATTGTACATTATATTCTGCTGTATACTTTTTTTGAAGCAGGGTCTTCCTGTAGCCCCAGCTGTCCTTGAACTCACTATGTAGACCAGGCTAGCCTTGAACTCACAGAGATCCGCCTGCCTCTGCCTCCCAAGTGCTGGGACTATAGGCGTGCACCATCACACCTGGCTCGCTGCTGTATACTTAAGAATACATAAACAACAGAAAGTACCACATGTACTAATATTTAAAATATGCATTAATATATCATAAAATATGTAACATGTACTAATGTAGTTGCAATAACAATATATGATTAAGTAATACCACACACATAGAGTTTAACTACATATGCTGCCATTTCTAATTTAAGTAATAGAGTAGCTGTTATGTGTGGTTTAATAATGGGGGTATATCCTGATAAACACATCACCAATGTTCAGAGTGGCTACACAAACCAAAACCTCCACGGCATCATTAGGCACTGTAATCTGATGGCTTCATCTATGGCCTCAGGCCTGGCCAACACATTTTGTGGTGCACAGACATATGCTATATGGAACCTAACTCAGAATGGTTGCTGAAGATGACCTCTGCTTTCTCTGCCAGGAACTTGGTTTTCTGTCCATCCTTC